GTATTCTTATGACGGATATATTGGTAATAACTGTATTCCAGTTCTATACGTGCTTAACTTGCACATGAAGTGTATATGCAGAAAGTGTTTCATGCCGGTAACTGTTCAGGCTGAAGCCCTTTAGACTGCGATATCCTGAAGTCCTGTAGGCGTACACTGATATCTGATAAACACGCTGCCTCCATCTTCAGAATTGAAATTTGAATCTAATGAAGGAGAAGACATGCTCTTACGAAACGACTGTATCCGTCTACTAGACTGAACGGTGCCCCAAGACAAACAACCACAGTTGCAACCAGTTCCTACCCGGTTTGCAGTTCTAGTGGTCTACGTGTAAACTGACGTGAACTGGTGGCAATACAAGACCGAAGTTTTAAAATTTTATTGACTATATCATGAAAGTGTATGTGCTTGCCGAACTACTGGACCTGTCGACACAGCAGCGAAGTAAATTATATTTTAATAATATCGATTAACATCAATAAAATATCAGTAATTTAATCAATTTTATTCTCTCATTCAACCACAGATACACTAATTCAATTAACCTCCATAAGCGACTAAATTACTAAGTAGTATAAAATATTAAACTATCAATAGATACCGGATTTCTCGGTTACTAAATTGTACCAAAAAATATTTCCCATTCCACACTTAGCAAGACTGGTGTCATTTTCAGTCTCTCCATTTTAACATTGTAACAATCTACGAAACGCCAAAATACTTCATACACCTTATATTTCATCATCTGATGAAATAATTTATCACAACATATTTAATTTTAAAACAGAATCAATTTAACTATGCATTTCAATAGTCCGGAAATAGGGACTAGCTCTGTCTATTGGACCCAACTGAGTAGGTTTTACCTGAGGACGGGGACAGAAACCAGTCTCCGAAACGCTGTGTTAAAAAAAAAAAAAAAAAAAGAAACAGGACGTTTTTTTAAAAATAGACAAGACGATGGATTATGTCCAAAAACATATTACTTGTAGCAATTTACTATCGTCACAAACTTTTAGATTTTAATAGTAATATAGTTTATTTATTTATGAGTATTTAAATACCACCTGATGATGGTTCCCACGTTCGAAACACGTAGCGGTTGAATAAACTAACGTCATGTAGCTGAGCCCTTCTTGAGAAGCCGCCAAAGCAGTTTCATTACGGTGTTCACAAGAGTCCTCCAGTGGATCCTATACTGAGTCAGATCAATCCAGTTCAGATTACCCATCCTATTTTTCTAAAATAAATTTTCATATTATCTACCCACCTACGTTTTGGTCTTCCCAGTGGTCTCTTTCCTTCTGGCTATCCCACGAATATCCTATATGCATTCCTCTTATCTTCCATTCGTGCTACATGTCCTGCCAATCTCATCCCATAAAACCAACTAGATTCTGCATATTGATAGAAGACAAAGCAGCAGGTATAAAAAAAACAACGAGGTACAATCCACACGAATAAAGAAATTGTGAATGACTTTTGAAATGTCTGGACAAATGAGGTCGGAACAGGCCAATCTGCACAGTTTTTTACAGCTACTCAATGACGATAATGATGCTGAAAATGATTATGATGACGCTTCAGACAGTTAAAGGAAAATAATTATTCGACTTTCGTACTGCAGTTATGTAGGGAATATAAGCTTTTCGTCTTGCACTAACCTCGTATCCGAGCAATGGAAGATGTCGCAGTGAGCTGTGTGCAGGAACACCGATTTCAGCAGTGCGATAAACGAAACAGCTCTGCAAAGTAGGATAATTAGCTCGTGTTCATATCTGCTATGGCTCCATAATAACTCGGGTATGGATGTAGGAATTAGATTGCGTTCCGATGAGAAAGAGAAAGGCACAAAAATGTAATCTGTAAGTTTTCCATTTCTGTAGGGAACGCTTCGCATATGATCGTTTAATTTCCTGTGCCATTTCAATTGCACGCAGCTGACAGTGTTGTTCTTCTTAGCTAATGCGATAAGCTTTAATCTTGGGTAGGAAATGAATGTTCTATGAATTTTGAGAATCAGTTTATATCAAGTGTCTGTAAAAGTTTCAATGCGAATATGAAGAGGGAAATATTCGAATGTGATCCTTAACCGTACAAGACCTTCAAATCATGAAAATCAAGAGCTGGAAGACGCTTGTACGAAAGAAGAGCAACGGAAGGAAATTTCTGAGTTAGCCAAAACCCATCTTTGTTTGTAGATTTGTTGACGAAGAAGATCATTAATCTTAGTAACACTTAAATTACAATGTAAATTCATTTCTTATTATGCCATCCTCAAATTTGGATAGGCAAAAAATATTTTCCTCTACGGATGACCTAAATTTGTTGGTACCTGTGAAATATCAAGTTATGGAAGGAGTTTTATTCTATGGGAAAAGAATGTATAACCTGAAGGAAGGGAGAACTTCACAAAAATTGTATTCTGTTGGAAGAAAATTCGAAGTACAAATATTTTATGAAAAACAGGGGTCATAATTTTGTAAAAGAAACGAAATCATGCAAAGATATTTTAATATAAATAATAAGCGAAAAAGAAAGGCTTGGATTGACTCCACAAGATGATCTTGAAGATCTCAAAACTAATCTCACTTGCTCCTAGCCTGGAGCAATTTGAAATACTTGAATTTTAAGTTGATAAATTTGTTCTTCTAAAACAATTTTGTCGTCTTAACTGAAAGATACTCCAAAACACGCCGTCCCCTTCCATTATACCATTTTATGGAAACATTAATATGAGATTACAATGAAAGCGGAACGGAAAAGAGTAGTGTGCAAACAAGGGAGAAGAAATAAAGAAACTACGAAAAAGAAACTTCGACTATAAAACAACAAGGCCACAGCAGATACCAGAGAACTTAATTCTTCCTGCACAAAAAGTAAGGAATATGATAGTTTCATTTAAATCAGATACGAATTTGTCCTTTTACAAGTATATTTTTAGACAATGAGGGACAAATTTATAAAATTTGTTTAACGAAAATTGAATATTCGATATGGTTAACAACACAAATGGATTAATTTTAAATTTGGGTGGGCGTTTTCACTGCGTCAATTCCGCAACAACAATGCTCTGGTTAATTCCGACAAAAACATGAAGTTAGCTGGAAGAACGTGTGAGGAGGCGACATAATGCATTGGTAGTAGTGGCAGTAGTAGTGGCAGTAAAAGTGGCTATGGCGGTAGGAGAGGAAGCAGTGTTGATGATTGTAGATAATTAGTCGTAGTCGTAATATCTGTATTAGTAGCAGTAGCGGACTTATAGCAGTAGTATTTGTGGTGGCGGTAGCTACAGTTGTTATGAGAGTTGCAGCAGTAGAAAAGGCAGGGGCTGCGTCGGCAGTGGTGATGGTGTAGGCTGTGAGTGTTAGCGATGTTTACGAATGTGATGGTGGTGGTTGAGTTGGTCAGGTGACAGTTATTGTGGTGTTGATGTTAGCCGTGATTGTAGCGATGCTGGCAGTGGTTGTGGTAGCGATATTTGTAATACTGACCGGTTTATACACCGCCAAGTAACAGTTTTATTTGTCCAGTGGTATTGTCACAATGTAGATATTGAAGATAATACAATGTAAAAATGTAATAATAAAACACGAAACAAAAGAACTGTGTTCCAAATAACCAAGTAGTTGGAATAACAAAAAATATAGTTCTGCCTGGCTCACAGTATGTCGAAAGATACCAAAATACGTTAATGGCAGGACTTTGGAGGGAGGGCTGATGAATCCTGTAATTTAGACGCGATGAAAAGGTACACGCAGCCACGAATCGGATAGGAGCACGCAACGAAGAAAGTGATGCGAGACTGAAAACGCCAAGCCTTCTTACCGTCCTTATGTTTCGCACGTGTTACAGGGAATCACTGTGGTACTTATCGAGATGTCTGATTCATCAAGCAACGTATTTTATCCTGAGTCTTAACCAAATTTGTATTTAATTTTACACGGTACACACAGCCTGATCCACCCTTTATTTATAACTGAGAGTTATTTTCGGAATAAAGGGAGTCCCTAAGTGTATAACTCAAATTACATTCTTAAAACATAGAGGTTATATTAATTTAAACTCATGTTTCTTATGTGTTTATCTTCTTAAGTTCCAAAGCATATTTGTCGCAGAGGAAAACAGCAACTACTGTGGACAAAGACCTGAGCGTACGGTTATGTATTCGTTATATTATAGAAGAAAATATTTTCCTGGCTTCCATATTTATACAACCCTGGTCTAAATGGGCGATATCCAACAGTTTTCTTGGTGATACCTCGAAATTTGTTGCCAGTATCCATTTGTTAAATAACGTACTAGTTGTACTTAAAAGCAGCGTCATTCATTCCATGTTATATTTTCTTCCTTACCTAGTCACTCTGCCAAAGTTACATCGTTTTTAAGAAATATTTTATCGACGTTCTCCTCACAAAATTCTGCAAACGGATCATGCCTAAAGCTCTTTTGATATATCTGAACCCAGCTCTCTCAAGTAGCAATTTTGCTTGAGATTTCTGGGCTAAAAGTTTCGTGCATATTTTTGTCTTCCTTGCCCATCTCATTTTCTTCATTGTATTATCGTTAGGTATGTTAGGTTAAGAGTACAGATTATCCTGTTTCTCGCAGTGTAGTTCTTATATAATACCAATATTCCTTGGGTATAATAATTTCCTAAGCTTCCGCTTCTCAAACGAAGTCGGTTTACGTTGTTTCCTTAACTGTAGAACCTTGACTTCCGATACGCTAAGTAAATCTACGGGAAGCTTTAGAAAGTGATTGTGTACTTACGTAATAACAGCAATGCAAGAAGTCGGAATTCTAAAGAAAAAAAAAACAGTTCGCCTCTGCTAATTTCAAGTTTAAAATCACAACATTCACGTGCAATGGAAAATAGTTTCACTAGTAAGCATCCGTTCGTCACCGTTTACATTTGTTTCTAATGCTATACGGGGCTCAATCATGTTTCATGCTACTGGATCTACGTGCTGAAACATGACTTTCTTCTGTTCCAGGAGACAAATACGAAGCCGTGTCCACGGATAACGGCTATAACAAATTCATGATGCTTAAGATCCGTAGTGTGAGCAAGAGCGACTTCGGTTCATACAAATGTGTAGCCAAAAACTCGCTGGGTGAAACAGATGGAGTCATCAAACTGGACGGTAAGTCACCTTGCATATCTGTCATGGAACTTACGAGGTTTGACAAACACATGGACTGATTGTATGAAAACTATATAACTTCACTTATAACGAGTATCGCTGGGCATTTCGTTATTTCCCCTCCTCCTTCCAACACAAATTGCTGGAATTAAAATTTTATGTTCACAAACACAAATTCCTCATCATACCAACTGAGACGAGGACGCGGGGGATCTGAAAGTGGTTACTTGCGTTTGTCAAACATCTCTTAAATTAAATTACTCTGTAGTAAAGGACGTTGTCACAGCGCAAAGTCCTCTTACGCCGTCAGTCTTTCATAGGAAATGCGAAGCAGCAAAATTTTCCAAATCTCTCATATTTTTTAATTATAATTTTGTAATGCATAATTAGTTTGTTAGTAAACAGCATCCTTTAAAATGTGATTCTGATATTTGCGCTCTTCTAGATATAGGAGACTTTGCAAGTTTTCTTTTAAGAGCTTGGGTTTGATTCTCAGTTACGCTAAAGAACTAAATTGTCATTATCAGCTATTATATTTTCCAAAGTATGGGTCCTTTCAAAATATTTATTACTTGTAAATAAACACGATAGGGGTATGGACTGGATTCAGCGGGCTCTATACAGAGAAAGTACCGAACTTTCTTTAACACCATAATGAATCTTCGGGCTCCAAAAATTTGTTGTGAATTTCTTGAATAGCTGAGCGATTCCTGACTTCTCACAGAGCACTCGGTTCCTTACAGTTACTTAAAGGTCCTTCTAACTTTTTTTCCGAAAGTCCAAATCGTTCTATTTTAGCAAATTCCTTCATCTGCGCCTGATATTTTTCGGCACTATTTGAGCACAGACTCCCTCCAGTTATGGTCTTGGTCAAGATCTGACAGTTTTCAGATTCACATTCGGTTTTTCTCCTAAATTTCTAAAAACACATCAATAATTATTGATGTGTTTTTAGAAATTTAGGAGAAAAACCGAATGTGAATCTGAAAACTGTCAGATCTTGACCAAGACCATAACTGGAGGGAGTCTGTGCTCAAATAGTGCCGAAAAATATCAGGCGCAGATGAAGGAATNTGCTCAACTCGCACTAAATCATATCAATCGTTCTCTCTAAATAGACTCTCCGTAATATTTTCTAATGCCAGCTGAACTTCTTTACGACTCCACTAAAAACTTAAGGTCTATTCACTTCATTAAGGAAATATCTCTAGCTTTTATAACAAACAAAGAAAATAGTGATGTAATGACACTGTTAATGCAGTAACAAAGGAAACTAAATATCAGCGACTCTACAACACAAAACTATTGAATTAGACTTACGTAGTGACGTGATCCAACACACTTAAATACATCAATGCAGGTAGGATTTGCATGAAAGCATCAGTCCGGTTACTTTGTTGTCACACCTTGTACATTAAGGGATTCAGTTCTCATAAACATAAACTTCTCGGCATTGTCACCCTGGCAACAAACTATTATTGTTCACTGGTACAGTAACTAATAAGCATATAAAATATTTTTTTGTTTCGCACACTGACTAAATAGTGTTATTAAAATTCCATGGATGCAAATGTGAGGCGGCTGAATTTGTTACCGGAAGTTAAACAATGAGTAACGACGCTTTATATTTTAAGCAAATCAATCTCTGTGAAAATTAGAGAATATTTTGTTTCCATTTTACCTTTTCAGAGATACCAGCTCCCTCAACTACCTCAACTTCGACGGCGTTGTCTGTGACGTCACCAATGTCCTCTAGAAAGAAAGGTAAAATTAATTGTTGACGTTATTCATATTCATGCATAATGACATGTCTGAAGCGGCTAATTTATCGTTAATACAGACAGGATTAAATGCAGAATAGACTATAAGAATGAAGATATGGGAGGCTGAAAGAGGAAATATATATGCACCACCACAAAGGAAAGAACGACAACATTCTCAAGTAGAGTAAATGTATGAGAAAGACGAAAAGAGTCGAGAAGCCTAAAAAGAAAATGGTTTACGATTAAGGAACAAGACATAGAGCGACATTCCAGGAAGCAGAGAATTTCTTAAGAAGCTAACAGTCGTGTAGTTAGTCATGGCATTTCATGGGTAACTGTCTTTCTCAAGAAAGTGGTAGTCGCTGAGTTCTTCGAGAAGTTTCATGGAGCCCAGTTCTTCTTAAGAAGCTGATAGTCGCTTATTTGTCCAAGATATTTCACTCTTTTGGGGGAATGTGAGAGGTTCATTATAGTGTTAATAAGAAGACAGTATGTCCCTACGTGAACAGAGAATTTAATGGAGGTAGGCCTAGGCCCAATGGGGCTGTAGTGCCAAGGGAAAAAATATGTCCCTACACCTAACCTAACAAGCACAGCTCGCACTTCATTTAGTACTAATTTAAGTCCAGTTTTAATATGGTTCTCACAGCTTAGGATATGAATAGTTCTGCATTTTGGGATATAACGCTGTGAAGTCTGAAATACACTCCGTTATACACCAGAAGAAATTTAAGTTTTTATGTTAACTTCCTATCTACGTCGTTGCCTCCTGAATGCTCTCTTCCATTTCAGGGTTTCCCACCAAATTGTTATATACAGTTCATAGTCCTTCCAAGAATTTTACACGCCTATCCCATTTTATCTTCTTCATTTAATCTCCAGAATCCCATCGCAGCGGCCCGGGTTCGATCCCGGGTCTGGTCAAGTGGGATTTGTGGTAGACAAAGTGGCGCTGGGGCAGGTTTTCTCCGAGTACTTCGGTTTCCCCTGCCAATCTTCGTTCCAGTAATTGCTCCACAATCACCCTCACCTATCATCTGAGGCTGGTACAATAGGCCAGAAGTGGCCGCAGTACAAGGGACTTAGTTCAACCCGACTAGCAATAAAAAAATCTCCAGAATATTTTTTAAATCACTAAGTTCTTCACTATGTATTTTTCTCAAGAATTCTGTTACTTCATGTCCCTTTACTGTGCTCATATTTCTCAGCACTTTAGTGAGTTGATGATAAATTCTGACGAGAATTCCAATTCTCCCGGACAGACTGAGAATAAGTGAAGAACTCAGATGACCCAGTCAAGATTCGAACCCGTTACAACATAAATGATAATCTGTAACATCACTGCTATACCATATTTTTCTTTTCATCAGTTCTTTTCTTCAAACTTAAATGGATGCGACAATAAAGCCACTGAATGTCAATTGCTAACTGTGACATATAACGGCACGTATAAACATACGGACACCTTGGTAAGAACTCAGTTATCTCAGAACGACACGGAATTTTATCACAGCGCTAAAGTTTTCGGGATAATTTATGGTCTGATATTTCCTTCTGATAGAAGAGTTCAAAAGAAGGCAAATGAAATAAATTCGTGCATATTTATGCAAAAATGTCGCTAAAATAGCCTTGTAAAAGTAAAGTAATCCCTGTAACAAGCCGTGAAGGCCCATACGGTTGAGAGACGTTGAGGGTCCCATATTATCTAGAATATCGGCTCAAAGATGGCGGTAAGGTTGTCAGCCTTACGCACCGGCCGCGCTTTACTCCCCAGGAAAATTATTTAATTAATCCCTGGTACTCATTTCTGTTAGAGGCTGACTGGACCCCAGGGCCATAGTGCAGCTGGAAGGATTAGGTCAATTAAAAAAATCCAGTGACCTTATCGGGACTTGAACCCGCGACATTCCGGTTTGTAGCATAGCCCCTCCATCAAGTACGCTACCGCGTGCCACTAACATAGCCTTGCAACTTCTTAAAATTTTCATCGTATCATCGTGCAGTCTCTATCAAAGTAGACAACAGACGTAGGCCTGTAAAGTCGTAGATACGATTTATGTCTGTATTCATACGTATTCGTATGTTCTGCTAACATGACTAGACGTCTTAAGTAAGCCGCAGATGACTTATAAGCAACCCAAAATCTCCTTGAAATAACCTTGTAACTTCCACATACTTCAAATACCAACTAGTGTATAAAATATTAGAACCATTTACTGATCTCAATTAATATTAACATTACATAATTGTTTCGCTCGACGGCCATGTTGGTATTACTAGTAGCGGAAATTTACAATATATAAGAGACGAGTCTGCTTCTTTCCGAGGAATGTGGAAACGGATATTATTGCATAATGTAAGGCAACTGGAAACACGTCTGTAGTCAGAAGCTGCAATTTTATTTTTAATAATAACTGGAAAATTGGCTGAAATCCCATTCAAGCACAGTGTTGTTTCCATATACAATTATGGATATCTGTCCTGCCTCTTTTGATATAAAGCGTAAAAAGGTAAATGCATATGTTAAAACTAGGCCCTATCAGAGTTCATGTAATTTTTATAATATCAAATTAAATTACCTCTTTTAAGTCTTTCGGTGAATGTGAATTTCATTAAAGAGATGGGTTTCGTTAGTGGCACAAAATCAATGATACCATCACTGGATCCTTGAAGGGGTATATTTTGTGTACAGAAAAATTAAATGTAATTTATTTTATGAGAGAAAACATATATGTACGCCTACTATTGAAACCGGGCCCATGTATCTGCAGTGAAATGTGATTCACGACATGCCAGTGACATAATCAAACATTCATATACTTTTGATATATACCCCAGGAAAACTTTACAATGGCACCAAAGAGCCGTCAACCACAACCCAATACTTAACAATTATTTTGTATTTCTGACCAAGATATGTAGCCCTTGAAGTTGATATCTTATTAACAAAACAGGTCTTGCCTTTAAAAAGTTATTATTATTATTGTAACGTGTTTACGTTACTGAAGACGCCGTAGAGATGGTTAATTGGGTTTATTTAACAATCTACAAGAAACGGCTACAATTAATTATCACACAGTTGCGGGGTTTCACACTTTATAACCCTAATCGCATTAATCTGTTAACACTGTTGCGGGGTTTCACACTTTATAACCCTATGCGCAAATCAGTTCACTCTGTCTTCAGTAGTCTACACGTTGACAACAGGAGACACCGCAAGCACAGCTACGGGACGGAAAAGGAACGGGGATGCACCGTTAGGCTATTCGGGACGAACAGCCTTAAGGAGGGAGCAGNGGATTGAATTATTATTATTACCTTTAATTAGTCTTTGATTTTTTATGTTGTGTTTGTCCATAATGTAATTACTTGTATCTACACTGTGCTGTGTCTATAATTGGTCTTGTAGCTGTTGACTCGGTACAGAAATAATAAATAATTGAACTCGATTATCATTATGGCTCTACAATCCTCTGTTGGTCCTTGACCGCTTTTTTCAACATTCTTGATCCTATACACAGTCGGTACCTATACACAGAACAACACAAGTGCAGAATAAACGCACACAGATATTCATGCTCGAATGAAATTCGAACCCACGATCTCCGTGTTCCACGGAGCTAAGACAGTTTATGACTTAGACCGCGCGTCCACCAGGAAGGACTGAACATCATAAATTTCGTTAGTTATTGTTTAGTTAGTTATTTGGCAGCCTGGCTAATTATTTATATGGTTACATAGTTAGTCAGTTATATATTCGAGTTTTAGAACCCAACCGCGTAAAATGAATTTCCAATACTTGGCAAATATTTTGGTTGCCATATTCAGGATTAACGTGTTTCTTTTTCGTAAATATTCAAGCTCAAAGTATCATATTAGAAAACGCTGAAACTCTATACTGAACTAAAGCCGCAAACGACTAAGTACAAGAATAAACTACAGCAGTTGACTACTGATCACGAGATTCTATTTTCTTTCGCACGGTAAAATTTAATCTGATGAATTTCCAGTTGATTGTGTGCTACAAAGAAGGGTATTACTTATGCGATCTGCTTTTTAATATTCTTCTAGATCATATCTTCAGAATGGTCCATGATACAGACCAAACAACGATTTAATGGCCTAAGTCAATCTGTGGGTGAGAATTTAAGTAAAACAAAGGACGACAAATTGTCTTACCCCAGTAAATAGGCGGTTCTTGAAGTAAATACAGGTAAATAAAGACACGTGTGAACGAAATTTTAAATAAGAATTAGTAATACAGTCACAGTATAGCAGTTTCTAATCAGTTATTTGAAAATAATACAAAATTAACAAATTGATGACAAAGAAACAAAAGTGTATAGGGAAAAAAGTATGGGAAATTTTCACTGTTGTTGAAGAAGTTCAGAAACCTTAATCATCCCATTCATCATGTGAAATATTACATGTCATTATCGTCACCATCATCAAAGGATCTGTCGCCTGTTTCCTCAGATTATTCTAATTTCGTTCAGAATTGAGACTTTGATGTTTCACTTTTCAAATCTCCTGTGTGGTCATGTAAAATCAAGGGATTACATTAGCTGTTCAAATATTTAAGTCATTTTTCGGTATATTACTGGATGTATAATACAACATATGGAGCACAAAGTTGTTAATATTCACTTTATTAGAATGTACGGTTCTCGGCCATTCTCTTCCCCTTCTGTCTCTTGGGATATACGCCTACTGGTAGAATTGTCTACCAAATATAATTTCTCTCTTCGATCCATGTGACGGAACGAATTCTTATGGTCACTCAGGTTAAAAATGTTATTCATGTAGTCAAAATAGTACATTCTTCTCCGGTGAAGTGGTTTCCTACGTTTCTGAATTCTTGTACAGTGCGTGACAAATGGTAGGAACCTCATTCCAGCTTCTCTCTTATCGCGTTATAACAGAGTCCAATATTCTATTCAATATATACATTTGTTTAAAGTCATTTTTTAAAGCATTCAAGAACTTCTCTTCTTGCTTTTC